GATGACTGCTGGTGGGACTGGGTAACAATAACATTGATCGAGCTCCTTGCTTTCCCTTCAGTTAGTCCATTTACTTTCTTTGCTGAGCCAGAGGGAGCCAGGATAAAGGAAGATGGAGTCTGAAAGAATCAGCAGGGAGTTTAAAGTGGGGGGAAAAAGAAAGAAACATGTTCTTACTTTGATCAGGTTAAGTCTGTCATACTGGAAAAAGAAATCATAGAAATTAGAACTGAAAGGCGACAGGGAAATAAATAGTGTCTGCAATAACAGGGGGGAGCAGTCACACACAGGCTGACGAGAGGTGCCACGGACACAACGCTACTGGGCATAGAGAAGCAGATGCCAGGGATATCACTGCACACAGTTACTCATCTCCCGCAGCCAGGCAACGATGCCGGGGGAGGAAAGTTGGGGTCTTTGCTGAGCCTTTGATTAATGTGCTGCTGGATCTCTCTGCTTAACAAGCACCTGCTAGTGCTAGCAACCATCTTGTGCATAATGGCATCTCTGCCTTGGGAGACTCCAGGTTACACTACGGCAGTGGATCATGCAGCACGTGTATGTAATTCCGGTTGCTGGCTGCTTCGGCCAGGCCTATCCTGCTCCCAGTAAACTCAACAGAGGCTTTTGCCATTGACTTTAATGGCAGGAGAAACACTTTGGCCATCTATGCTAATGCCTCCAGAGTATGCAAAAACATTTTGCATGCTAGCATTGACAAAGCCCCATACCATTCTGGGGGGGCATGGCCGCACCTCTCTTCTCATTTTACAACTGGGGGAACCGAGGTACACAGGTTAAACGCCTGTCTGAGGTTATAAAATGAGCTGGGACTAGAAGCCCGGCCTCCTGAACCCCAGTCTAACCACTGGGTCTTGTTCTCCCCAGCCAGTTACCAAGAGCTGACCCTCCATTGCCAGGCTGGACTTTGGGAAATCTTTGTTTTCACCACTAAAGTTTTCAGGGGGGTTAAAAAGCCATGTTACTCCTGGGAAGCTACAGAATTTGCTCCTATTCCCCATTCAAGTCCAAAACAGCTCCAACCTGCAGGCCATGTGGCAAAGCTCATCTCTCCTATAAACCTAATAAATAAATATAGACCGATTCATCCTCAGCATTCAGACTCATCACAAGAGGATCTACAGGCTCTAGGGGACAGGGAGGGGACTCGGTTTAAGGATCAAAAGCAAAAAACACGCAGTTCGGCTTTAGTAGCAAAGCAATAGCTGCTGTGGTCGCGGCTAGCTGGCTGCCAACCAAAGCCTGAGGTAGGGCAGGATGTTTCTCAGCTGTGCTGGCAGGTCTCTGTTTCACCTGACAGCGGTGGGGGGAGTAGAAACAAAGCTTCCTAACAGGAATTATTAAAGCATTCAATATTAATTGGATGCTTAAAACTCCAGGTATAGTGGCTCCCTCTGATGGCAAAACGGGGTCATGACAATTAGCACAAAAAGCAGACAAAAGAGGGGAAGTGCGACTCCGGGGAAAGCTGCTGGCAATGGTATAAACACAGTGTCAAACTCATGGGCTCAGGCATTCTTGTCTCACCAACATGAGCTGGTTACAGCTGAAGTAGCAGCCCATTTTTTTCTGCTTGCAGAGGGAAAAAAATGCCCAAGGCAAGGGGGTGAGAGAGGAAACAGGGATTTCTTCCTCCTCTGGCTGGCTGCTCTTGTATGCGATTCCCACCCTGCCGCGAGGGAAGAATTCAGCCTGCCACATTCATTAACCCTGGGATTCCTCTCTCCGTGCCGTGCCTGCAAGACGGACCGACTCTGACGGGCTGCAGGGGAGTCAGCCTTTACACCAATGCATCCTAGGCAGCTCGCCCTCAGCACAGCGTGATGCAAAAAAAAAAAAAAGGGCACACGGCACTGAGCCATGGCTGGCTGTCCTCAGGGGATGGGCTTGTAACCCTCCTCCCCACCCCAAGCCACCTCCCTTTACCCTCTGTGCTCATCAGAGGTTTGTCTCATTGCTGTTTGCTCTATTGCTTCTAAAACCTTGACTTCTCATGAAAGCCAAAGATCCACCGCTAGTGGAGCAAACCAGCCCCGTATGGCTTTTCATCGCTGTGTGGCTCCCCTGCCCCAGAGAGCTGTCTGCCATTCAGTGCTGAGCCTCCACACTGCTCCGCCAATGTGCCTTCAGCCTAACACATCCTTCCACCATCTCCTCCAGCCCTACCAACAAGCCTCGCATAGCAATTCAGTACCTGGGCTCCCCAAAGAGTGCTTCTCATTCTTGCCCTGTAACGCCAGTCCCCATAATCCCAATTTGTACCATCTTGAGTCGTAAACCTCGGGGAAAACATGGACCAAACAGGGATCAATCAAGAAAGACTGAGCCATATTTTGCATCACAAATGACCAGGACAGCAGAATAAGGCCAGTGGCTTCACTGTACACTAATGGGAAGTTGGGAGCCAAGATCTCTGCCGGGAAATAGCCAGAACATTACCTTTGTGGGACCCCACACCAGTGGGAGCCCAACTTTTTGGTAGGTGTGCCATAAATTAGCTCTGCATCCTCCCCAAGAGCTACCCAGTCCCTTTTCCCTGCCCAATCTGCTGCTACGCTTTCTGCTCCCTGGCCTATCTGCCACCATGCAGCCTGTCCACACAGAGGCTACCTGTGCTCCTTGTGGCATTTGTAGCACAGGTTGGCCACCTCTGCCCTATGCCATCTAAGCTATTTTGGCTTTAAACCTCACTCGCACATACCTGGAAACGCCAGTGGCTTCATGCTTTATGCCTCCGCCTTCAACCTCTTGATTTTAAGAACTCCTAAGGCTGACTTAAGAGCTCTTGTTTGAATGCACTGAAATCAACTCTAAAATACACCCCTCATTGGGAGCTGGTTTCCTATCCAGAGGGACATCTTTCATTTAAAACTTTTCACAGCGAGCCCATGAATTCTGAGGGGTCCTTAGGGAGTAGGTCTTTTCTCAGGGGTTTAGCTGGGTTCATTTGAGGTCACAGATGTTTAATATTCATGCCACACCAGAAAACACTCGGGGTCCAGCCAGATTGCAATCAATGACCATGAATTCCTTACTACAGAAAGGGCAGGCGTCCAGTTATAAAAGTGGTGTTGAAACAACACAGGCACACTGACAGGTCTCAGATTTCTAAGAACTACTAAGTGGGAAGAGGAGAAAGGAAAGAGGGGTTATGGAGCCAGATGACCCATCACAGACAGCAGGTTTTGTACGGCATACTGAAAGCCAGCCAGTTTAAGGGACAGGGTAACAAAAGTAAAGCACAGAGGTTTAAGAAGGGGCCAGTTCTCATACCATGTGAATGAATATTAATGAACCCCTCGGCGACTTCAAGCGAACCCAGCCTCACAGCTACAGGCAGCAGGGTGAGCTCTCACTGACATCCCCACACACAGGGACTGGGAAATGTCCTACTCGGGGCCACTTGTTGGGACTACAGGAGGATTTCTGAGCACTACGACAAGTCTACTGAGGGGGACAAGTGAGAAGAAAGAAAGCTTACTTTGGAGAGGCGCCTTTGTGACTAAATCAGAGAGACAGCATGCAGGAGTGAAGAGAGAATAATTACAAAAAACAATCCTCACAAGGACAAAAAGGGAGGAAAACCCACAGACATAACAGACATTATCTCCTTTGGTCTCCTTGGGGCCCACGTGAATGAAATGCCAGGGCAGCAGCTGGCTGGCAGACCTGGAGGCCAATAATGCCAAGCACAGCAATGGCAAGAGCAGTGTATGATTCCTCCATGCTGCCCCTTGCTTCTTGGGCCCAAAACCGAGTCCCGTCTCCATTGTGCAGCGAGTCCTGGCTTCTCCGCTGGGACTGACAATGAAAGTGCCCTGGGTGGTCATACAGATTTGTGTGTGCATGTGTGTGTGTTTGGGTGCACTAGTAAATTATCCAAGGATCAACCAGCTCCTTTCATGTAGGCCAGCAGCATAAAGATGACCAACGGCAACATCGTGTAGGTGCTCAGGGTGAAGCTGGAAAAAAAAAAAACCCTATACAAATGCACACTTCCAGGAGCAAGGTGCCCTTTAACAAAGTCCCATGGCATTTGAGGTTTTGGGAAAGCTCCTGTTGTGTTCACATACGCCTGGAAACCTGTATTTCACAAGGCACTATGGACCAAGACCGGTCTAGCAGGGCCCAGCTCCAATATCCAACCACACACTCATCAGACAAATCTCTGTCTTAGGAGGGTGTACAGTGACAGCTGACTCAAGGAAGGTAACAAAAAAACAAGAGAAGTCCTGCCCCATCTGCACTAAGGATACCTGCTCTGCCATAGAATAAAGCAATTTTTACATTGCTCATTCAGGCTTGATATGTGAGGACATAAAGGGGTGAGCTGTGGGTAGGCCACTTTTGTTAGGTGACTTTTTCTTCATGACTTCTATGTCCCTTTCATAAGAAGGAGCCAGTGAGGGTAGTATAACCAAAAGGAAGAGACAAAGGGATGACCAGGGTACCTGGGAACAAAAACTGACCCTGCTCCCAGCTGGGATGGGATACACTGGCTGTCGGTAAATCTCTAGTTACAGCCAGGGACTGTGGGGGGGGAAAATGAGTCCTGTGCAAAGTGCCAGCAAAAGGACTCAGTATTACTGACATCCCACTGTGCTTTCAGTCTTGAGCAGGACTTGAGTGAACGAAAAGTGAACGAAAAGTTTGTTGAAGACCCTTCTGCATCCCTGTGTTCCCTCCCCACACCCGCAGTGTAAGCCTCAAAGTCTCCAGGTGAGTGGATAAAATGGACTGGTTGCAAAGGCTGGTTTTCTGAGTCTCACTGGGGTTGGTGTAGAGACTCCTGAGAAAAATTTGAATTCACAGAAGCAGCAGCATGGGCCTGCTTACCTCACCAACCAGCATCTCATGGACTGAGGCTAGCAAAGAGCAGACGGGCTGTGCTAGTACCTGCCCGGTTCTGCCCCAACCGGTTGAGTGCCCCTGTGGCCGGTAGCACCTCAGGTGAAGGTCTTCAGTCATTTAATATGGTAAAGAAGGGGAGTTATTCAGTTGGAAATAAAAAGGAGAGGGCAGAAAGTCAACACAGCACCCCAGCGAGTATAAAGAGATGTGTCTGAACACAAATCACCTTTTCCTCACCTTGGAGTTCTTGGCCCCGCTGCGACCCGACTGAGAGGAACAGCTCCGCTGCACACCCTGCTCTGGCGTAGAAGGGGATTTGTCTGAAGAGTGGTCTGAGCCTTTCTCCACCATGGCGTCCCCTTGAGAGTCCTGCGGTGTCGGAGACCGGGAGCGCTTGCGCAGGATGGGGGAGCAGGCAGGCGTGCTGCGGTTCGAGTTACTGGCAGTGCTGGACAGAGAGAAAGCAAAGTCCATAACCATCAGGAGAAAGACACTCTGTTCACAGTACCTGCACTGCGTGTGGTCTAGCATAGGTGAGATGGTACCCGGGGACTTCTCCGTGTGTGCGCTGGCCAAACTCAGCGTTCTCAAGTGAGAGGCTAATGCCACGCAGTCACGTTATTCTCCAGTGGAAATTTAACCTGCTATAGCTAAACCACAATACAACAGCAGGCACTTTACTTTGGGGGGTTTTCTGGCCACTTTCATAAAACAGATGTAGCTGGAGGCTGAGAAAACCGCACACAAAAACACCCACTGCACTTCTGAATCTAGTCCCATTCATGTAATGTATTCTTCCCTTCCCTGTAAAAAATGCCCAGCTCACAGCAGACTGGTTTGGTTTCTTCAACATTTGGGGAAATGTCCTTTTTCCTCCTACAAAGCCCTGCGTTCAGATGGGAACAGAACGATTTTCCTCCTATGTCAAAAGCTCCAGTCATTCGACCAGGGAGCAAAAACAGGGCTGTAAGATTTTATTGACCAATCACCCACCCTGCATAAAGAACAGTGGACAATTCACTAATTAACCATAGGGTGCATTTTGTTTGTAAAACTGGATCTGGTGATGTGAACTTCAAATATAATCCAGGCAACTAACAAATATGTTAACAAAAGTCAGGACTTGTTCATGAATAGGAATAAAGGGCTAAATTGGAAAGGCAATGTATTGGTGATAAATAATTCAGCCAGCTACATTATACAGAGAGGATTC